TCGAACTCGACCGAGACATTGTTAAGACTGAACTGTGTAGAAAATTTCATCGCGATTGGACTCTCCTTTCAAAAGTTATCGTGTTAACGGCCGGCCGGCCGGACGGACACACTGACCGATTTTAGTAGTGTACTCACTTTTTGAGTACACAAAAACGACAACATATCTAGAAGAAAATACAGAAATAATTGTTTATATCAATATATATGGCGTTGATTACATGTTTCGACGGTCTACCCGATCTAGTATTGATAGAATTGTTATCATATCTGTCATCTTACGACATTATTTGGGGGTTTACTCGTCTTAATAATCGTTTAACAACGTTAATCATGGAACGAAGTTTCTTTGATTATGTTAATTTATCAGTTGCACGTTACCATCAATTTAATAAAATTCTTCGTTTTCTTCCATTGAATGATATTCAATCACTTTCAATTAATAATGAAACATGTTCACTGCAACTAACTTGTTGGCCTTATCTACCTCGTTTGAGAACTTTACGTATCATTGGTGTCTACAATCATAATGATCTTTTGATTTTTCTTTTACTTCATGCAGCCACACTCACTCATCTCATTATGAAATCAAACGAAAGATTGATTCCGGTAAGTGTTAGTAGTTTGTTCTAATACATTAGAATTATATAAAAGATGAGTTTTGTCATTATTTGAAAATTTTCATCGAATGACAACTTCAATAAAATGTGCGAGAAGTGACAAACAATAGACTGATTATTGTTTTTTAATATAAATAAAAATGAAATAGTATCTCCGAAAAGAAAATTTCTATGAAAATACCGACAAATGTCATTCGACAGAGTTTGTCCTATTCAATAAAAATAAACAATAAAAAAAAAGCCGCGTTCAATGCTTACAAACGTCAACTTAAGTTTTCAATAATTTTATTCTAAAAATTAGAACTATCTTTAATAGTTTTATATACATTCGAAAAGTAGTTTATTTCAATAATTATCACAAACATTTCTATTTTCAAAGTTAATAATATGGAAATCTTCATGAAATAAAATGTTGAACAACATAGTTTTCATTTAACGGTGTATAAAATAGAAATAAGAATTGTTTCAGAAAGCTGATAATATTAACTGTTAATAAAGTATATAGTTGAATAGAACTTTCATTTATTTCGATCTCCTTTTAAATCATAGTACTGCTATTTTGAATCTGACAATTAAAAAATTAGTTTCATTATTCTTCATTCATAATTCACTGATTTTATACTGTTTTTTTTCAGGATGGTTTCTCAATTAAATTCATATATACAATAGCGGATATTGCGAAGTTAATAAAAAATATTTTTTTTATTCGTTTGCCTGCACTTCGATCGCTTGATTTGGGCATGAATTATTATGGAACATGTTGGCCTATTACTACTGCAGTAGTTCCACTTACTTATCTGCGTCTTGATTTTCCATGCATGGACACTTTACTTCGTCTTATATCGACAACACCACTCTCTGACACATTACATCAATTACATGTTAAAATAGGTGATAGTCGTTCTCCTGTATCAATCTCTAATCTGTCTATTCGAATGATTAATTTACGTACATTTACTCTTGTTCAAGCATTTTTCTCAATGTTAACAATTGAATGGACAATTTTCGAAATATTGACATCTTCAAATATAATGCCTGTTCTTCAACGTGCTAATGTGTCTCTTTTCATTAATTTTAATGATTTAAATCGTATTTGTTCATCAGCATTTTTTACTGATCATCGTCATATTGATGTTCATTTCGCTTTTAATCTTATTAATTGTCCTCAATATATCCAAATGACAGAATATATTCCACATGGTAATCGTTTTCATCCACGAGAAATTGTTGGTGTGACATTTCTTGTTAATCATCTGTCTGACAGATCAGAATGGCTCACTGATGATGATCCTTTTGTAAGTTATTGTTCAATTATATTTTTGTTCGCATTTTACTTCAAGATAAAATAGAAAGAAAAAGGAAATCTTTGTTATTTTCATAATCTAACTCCTGTATCTATACGTTAATATATTGTTTATATTTATAGAGTCGTGAACGTCAATATCATCACCATATGTGGTATACTCTGCCGTGGATATTTGATGAGTTCTTTCATGAATATCTCCCACGCAGATGGATTATTAAAGTACAAGTGTTTGAAATACCTTCTCAAAAAATGACAACAATTGGTCAATCATATCTTCGTAGATTCAATGTATCAGGTCAAACGTTGCCATTATCTATATACTCAT